TAGGTGAATCAAAAGTAGAGAGATTGAGTCGCAGCGAGTCATAGTTAAGGGATTGAGTTATAATTGAGTTAAAAGTTGAAGAATTAAAAGATTAATTTTTTCAAAAATCTTTATTTATATATGTATATATATGAAGTCACAATATAAAGTCTTTCTCTAACACTTGTAATGTTAAAGATATAGTCGAACATTAAATATTAGCGTCTCTTTTATTAGAAATTCAAACTTTTGTTTGTTTTGCTGTGAAGAGCCAACTCCCTTGGAAGTAGACTCAACAATTGTAATGAAATATAAAATATTTATAAATAAAAATTACAATATAAAACTAAGTTTTAAGAACATTATCCAAAAGAAAGTGATTATAAAAATTACAAGACAGAAACAGGAAAAATAAAATGACAGTAACGTTATATTAGACATAATAAATATGAGTAATATTATTTATTTTTAATAAAAATTTAAATTTTTATTTTTAAAAATAATATAATTAAAAAAAATTAAGAATAATGAAGTTTTTAGTCTACCAAATTCGCCTCAATTATCAATTTGATCCATCAAATTTAATTTTATGTATTTGGTCAATACTATTAAAATTTACAATAATAACATATTAATATCAATTATGTAGATTAATAAATAAAAGTATTTTTATGTTAGGAAAAATGGATTCACGGATTTTTAAAAACAAACAAAACAAACGTAAGGTCTATATTGATAAAAAAATTAAATTGATTTGAGGGTCATTTTATTGCTATTTAACTATATATATTTGTCAGGTTATCTAATATATTTCACATATTAGATTAATTTGGAGGTCAATTCATGGTTTAAAACTTAAAATTAAAGGACTAACATGATAATATAAAAATACAAGGTATTAACTTGATAAAAAAAATAAATTTAAGGAGCTAATAAATTGATAACTAAATCAACTTCAAGGAATTGAAAGTTTTATTATTAAAAGAAATTAATTTTTGAAGTAGAAATAAAGTAATAATTTTTGACACAGGCTAATCCCATAATTTAATCGGCCACGTGAGTAGGAGTTTCTTAGTGCTATTTTATCCTTCTCCCTTACTGGATGTTATTTTTTTTAATACTGTTGATTCCATTGTATCTACACTGTTGCCTTATTGTGTTTATAACTTCATATACATACATCTGCGCGCGGGCGCGGGTACCTTGTATAAAAGACAAGACAAGAGAGAAGATATATTGATTTGGGCTCATGAATTCGAAAAATCTATACCTGAACATGACTTTTTCCCAGGTAATTTTTTTTTTTTTGGCTGAAATTTTTCCCAGGTAATTTATATCCCAAATATAAATGGAATCACTCTGATTTCTGAGAAAAAAAAGTTAACACTTGTAGTTTTGGGGTTAAATCTACCAATTCATTTTATTTTCAAAAATCTGAAAGGAACTAGTTTTATTATATTATTCGCCCAATACAAGTTAAAATTTATTGAGATGCTTGGTGAAAAATGGTAAAATACTAAATTCATTTGTTTATACCTTTTATCCTTGTGCTGGAAATAAAATCTCTCTCTCTCTCTCTTTCGCTCTAAAAGAGTTAGAAGTAGAATCTCAATATAACAGGATGTGTAATTTTCAATATTTATGCAGGCTGGATTAAGATGGGGCTTCTAAAATTCAAAATTATCATATTTGTGAAGCTAACATTTGTTTTTTTATTAATATTTAATTAATATCAATACTGTAGACCAATAACATTACAATTATAGCCGCCAAAAAAATATATTACTGTTATAAAAACAATGATTTTACTAATTTCGAAGTACATCATTTTTTATAATATTTTTTTTATGGAAAAATGTTAAATTTTAATAATTAAAATTAAGGATTTTCACTGTGGAGTGGAAAATTCAAATGAATCTTTATTTTTTGGCCAACAAAATTCAAAGAATCTCATACCATATTACATATCTTACATAATTAAGTGATAGAAAAATGAACAATGATCTTCACTTTTATCCGAGGTCTATATTTTTATTTTTCTTGTTACTTAAACCAAATTTTTATAAAGATAAAATTTCTTAAAGATGATTCTAATTAGTTTGTTTACTAAATATTTCAAAATTTCTTTGGAAAGAGCGAAAAAAAAGAACAAATAAAAGAAAAGGAATCCTCTCTGTTTTCCAAGAGAGACAAATCTATTTCTTGGATCATGAATGAAAAAAATATATATTCATCTCAACTAAATTTATAATCTAATTAGAGATAGGGATCGAATTCTAATTACTTACGTCAGTATAACCGTCTAAGAGCCCTTGCCACTCATATATAGGATATGTTTAAAAGTATTCATGCACATTATTGTCTTTTCATAGGAAGAAGAGATAAAATAATTAAAACATGACTAATATAAAAAACAACGAATTAATATTAATTTGAAATAAAATAATCTACAGCAAGAAATATAATTAACTTATTGAAAAACACCACTCAAGATCTCTAGACTTTAATTACCTGTCGTTTTTAATTCCTGTATAGTTTATATTCATGATTTCTAATCCTTTTGTTTACTGTTCTTGAAACGATAGCTCTTTTATTTTTAAAAAAAATAATAAGAAGCGCCATGAGTTGGCTCAAAATTGCGTTAATTTTGTTGAAATACAATGCTATGATGCCATTCTTCACCCCACTCGCACGTAGTTGTTTGAGAGAGTGATATTCTTTTTTCTTTCTTTCTATTTTTAATTAGACCAGATTTTTTTTCAGTAAATTTTATAATTGTCGCCCCCACCCCAAATGAACATGTTTTTTCTAGTCATGTAATGAGTTTAACGATGTCAAGTTTACCTCAACAAACTTAATACAGTTTAAGATATCTCATATTCATTTCGTGTATTTTTCAAAGAATTATTAAGTAAATAAAACCCTTAATTATTATTCAAAAATTATTTTGAATCTTAAACTCTTAAAATATATAAAATAAATTTTAAATTTTTAAATTCATATAAAATAAACCCTGGCTATTAACTTTTTAACACCGTTACTGTCCACGCAGGTATTATTCAGGATTTATTTTCCTACGAATTTAACTTTGACTGTTATAATATTTACGTGGATACTAACGGTGTTAAAAAAATTAATGACTAGGGTTTATTTTGTTATGAATATAAAAGTTTAAAGTTTATTTTATATATTTTTAAAAATTTAGAATCTAAGATGATTTTTGAGTAAGAGTTCAAGATTTTATTTGTCCATTAATACTTTTCCAAAATACAGGGATTGCCATGTTAAAAGAGATGGAAAATCACAAAAATAAACCATAAGAACTTAAAAAAAAAAACACTGTTGAATATAGGGACATGAAGTGCTCTTTTTCCTATGTTATCAATCAATTTTCATATGAAATACACTCATATCTCTCAATATAAAATTAGTAGAAAATCGTAACATAAATAATGCATATAATGAATGAAAAAAACATGTTTATTTTTTTTTTTTTTAAACCAAAACATGAATGAAATGTGTTGTTGATATCAAAACCAAAACCAATGCACAAAGCGAGATTCGTTCTGTTACCATTTGTGTTCAATGTGTACTTTTACTACATTCTTTAAATTCTTTGTTTTCCCTTGTTAGAAAAAGATAAGCAACAACTTAGTTGGCTAGAGATCGCAAGCACTGAGTCATCTCCAGAATGGTCCCGATCCTCCAAAAAAGAAAAAACCGTTTTTGTTTAGAGTGGCTCGAGGGATAAAATTAAATTAAATTATTTAAAGTTTTGAATTTGAATTTGGGTCATAAAATAAACAATCACATTCAATAAAAATATTAAAGGCATTCTCAAGATATCATAGGTTGTTGTTAATAAGATCAGTTCTAGACAATAGACAATCATGTATTAGTCTGGTGGTTCATAATAAGAAATTAAAGGGATTTTTTTTTTTTCACAAACAGGAAAAAAATAACACTAATTTACTTCCGAAATATATTTGTTCAGTATTTTCTTTTTTACTGTGAAGGAAAATCCAATTATGTGGTTTCCGTGAATGGGTTTGTCCAGCCAGTGACTGCCATTTCTGTCGCATTTTACAGTAACGCAATCCAACCAAAAGCGATGCCCTTTTCATTTTTCTTTATCTGTCCGTCCTTTTTTTCATTTTGCGTATTATAAATGGAAAAATCAATCCCTGGAAGCCACGAAGTGAGAATTTCTTGTCATTGAAGGTACCCCTCTTTTGTTGCTTGACCCTCAATCAAAGACCCATCTTTTCCGTTTTGCTTCGGCAACTTCACCAGAAGCCCTAATCTCCATACCCACCTTCTTCTTCTTCATCCTCAGTCTTTACCTCCTTATGGGTCGCGAGACGTTGCCAGTTCCAGCTGCACCAGCCCCAGTAGTGACAACACCGAATCCAACGACACCAGTAGTAGCACCCCAAGCTCCTCCTACATCACTTGCTCCTGGGTTTCGCTTTCACCCAACTGATGAGGAACTCGTTATTTACTACCTTAAGCGCAAAGTTTGTGGAAAAACTTTCCGATTTGATGCAATCTCTGAAGTCGACATTTACAGAAGCGAGCCTTGGGACCTAGCAGGTCACTCTCCTTTTTCTCCCCGAAATATTTTACCTTTGCATTTTTTGTGTATGTAAAAAAGACTGATGAGTTTTGCTTTCCTTTTTTCTCCATTCTAAAGCATTTTTTTGTTTCTTCTTTCGCATTGGGGTTTGACGCTGTAATGCTGGATTTTCTCGATATGGGTGTTCTTGTTTATGTGGAAATTTCGTGGGTTCACGTTCCTTTTTCCTCATACATTTCTGGGTATTTGTTGTTTTTGCCCTCTTATTTTTTATCCTGGTGGTGGTGGGACGAATGGCTGTTTCAGATAAGTCAAGGTTGAAGACGAGGACCAGGAATGGTATTTTTTTAGTGCATTGGATAAGAAATACGGTAATGGAGGGAGAATGAACAGGGCTACTAGCAAAGGATACTGGAAAGCCACTGGGAATGACCGTCCAGTGAGGCATGAACAAAGGACTGTGGGGCTGAAAAAAACTTTGGTATTTCATAGTGGGAGGGCTCCAGATGGTAAGCGTACCAATTGGGTTATGCATGAGTACAGGCTTGTTGATGAAGAGCTGGAAAGAGCTGGAATTGGGTCCACCCAGGTGAGATCATAGTTAAATTTACTTAATGTTGTTGTCCCGAGAATAAAAATGTAGAAAATGAAGCTTGAGATGAGAGCTTAAACTGCTTAAATTATGCCCTCCTTTTCCTTAGTAGCTGGAAAGGGGTCTCCTCATTTGAACCAATTATTTCATTTTGGTAAAATAAGGAGCTTAGTGTTTGGGTTCCCTAACTGTGGAACTCTTGGATGCAGAAGTTTGAAGTTATTTCTTATTCAGTTATCTTCCGAGCAAGCAGCACTGTATTGTTTTGTTTCGGAAAATATGGTGCATGGACGTTGTTATTATATCTCAATCATAGTTTCACCTCTTGTTTTTAACTCATTTCTCTGCTGGGTGGAAAAGGATGCATACGTTTTGTGTAGAGTATTTCACAAAAATAACATAGGACCTCCAAATGGTCAACGTTATGCACCTTTCATTGAGGAAGAATGGGATGATTCATCAGCACTGATTCCAGGGGCAGAGCCTGTTAATGAAGCTACAGCCATCCGTCGTCCACTCATTGAAGGCAATGGTCATGTTGGCTGTTTTGAAGGAACTAATGGTGTCCAGGTTTGTTCTTTCCCAGAAAATTATCCAATCTAGTGTAGTTGTCTAACTTGGGGAGTACATTTTGCCTCAGATGCAGTAAGGTTTCAATTAAAAGATTGGCCCTAAAAAAACCTTAAAATATAACGGTTTAAAGTTGTATTTTAGAGTTTATGCACTAATTTTGTAATTAGGTTTAAGTTTCTGGTTGAAAATGCAGCTTTCTTTAAACTTTGTGTGGAGCTGTGGATATTAGATGGTAATGTTTACACATGCTTACAAAGTAACTAATTTATTGGTTGCTTGAATTTATCAAATCACTTTCTGTGGTTTTGTCAGAGAATGATAGATAACATGAAATATGCAGAAAAGTCATGCTTCAACTGACAACTTGAGTAGACAGAATATTCGCTGGGATATCTGTTGCCACCTGTGGTTTTGTGTTTGCAATATTTCCCGTTTATAGGCTTGCTATGTGTGTGTGTGTGTGTTTGTCTTCGTAGCAAATAATACTATGTGCTCTATACCCCTTTCACGAGACCAAGAACATGTGAGGTAAAGATGAATTAACATGTCCTAATTAACAAAATAAAGTAGTAGTTATTTATTTATTTTTTGGTTTGTGCTGGAGCAATGCCAGATCAATATAAGGGTATTCCCAATTTGTTTATTTTGCTCCTCTTTCAAGATGTTTGATTACTTTGACTTCCCCGTATGATTATTATCTTAAAAAGGCTTTTGTAGCATGAAGGATTTCGTTTCCTGACTGAAAATTTGGCCCTTCTGTCTTTCCTTACTAGATGGAAAAAGAATTGCGTTGCCAAGAAGATGAATCCTCCTACTTTTAAGACTTTAAGAGTCGTTTTACAGTTTTACTAGGTTTAGACATTACTTACGCCCTGATTTGGGAAGTGAAACAAAATATCCTTGTTGAGCAAGGATGATAGGGCTTCCAGCAGCAGGTGACTTGGGGCCCAATCTTTGCAATCAGGATCATGATATTATTAGTTGGGTTTGTAAAGCTTAGGGATATGAGATATCTTGGATGATTTGTTACTTCTTGCACTGAATGTTATTTGAGGGGGATTGACTTGAATCTTTGATTGGTCATGATAGTATGAGCTACATTTATCTTCAAGAATGAACTTAAATCCTTAAGGAAAACATAGATAAATCATAGAAACTTGGGGGAGGGGGAATGGGGAAGGAAGGAAAGAGAATTTGACTTTATACTCAAACCCTCTTGTTCTTTGTATCCATCTCCCTACCTAACAATCCCTTTTTCTGAATTTGTCTTTATACTGAAACCTTCTTGTTCCTTATATCCATCTCCATACCTAGCAATCCCTTTTTCCTGGAATTCACAATTCATATTGGTTGATTTTGAGATCAGCTTTCGCCTAGTTCTTTTTGTCACTTTATCTCTTGGTTAATCAATGACCATTGCTTGTTGATTTCTGTTTTACTAAACTTTTGATGTCATCATTGTGGGGTTAATATCCACATTGTTTTGTTTCTGTGGAACTTATTTGTTATTTGGATCAATCTTATGCTGATTTGGTTGGGAACCACAGATTCATAAAATGTGAATTTTAGTCGTTCTTACTGTTTCTGATGGTTCATCAAACATTGAAGTACATTGCAAGAGCGAGTTATTTGTGGTTAAGCTATGTAGTTGAAGATATCTGAAGAAAACTTTCCTACTGCTGCTGCTGTAAAAATAAAACTTGATTAGTTTATATATTTAGTCTTGATTTATATAGTAGAACTAGATTTAGGTATAATATCATAAGTTTTTCTATAAGGTTCTTTAATAAATACATGAATGTGGAGAACCCTTTTTTGGAACATCTGATGAGGTGGTGCTGAGCTTTGAAGAGGTATTCATTCAATCATTTGTCTTGTTTTTTTTTTTTTGAAAACTTAATAGAAAATATTAAAAAAAATTGTGCTTAACTTTTCTCCTATATAATATCATTAATTAATTTGCAATTAAAAGAGGTTTAACAAGTAAACTTTCACCCTTTAATATCTCACCACAAGGATTTGCTTGTTCCATTTTGCTTCAGCAATGAAATATGTTACTAAAAGTTTAAAACCATCCATGATGAAGTTCCTTGTTGCGTGCTAGTCTTAATTGAACTAGTACAAGTTAATGAGATAACTTCATGGGTTTTTGTGAGTTTGAGTTTTGGGAACCATCACGGAGATTATGTAGAAGCAGTCATGAGGGTTTAATGTAATTCTGTGACATCTCACCCATTCACACCAAACGAAAGAAAAAAAGGGGGGATGCTTGACATGAAATACAAAGGAGTTTGGCGTTTTGATTTGTTTGTTTATAAAGGACAGTTAAATTGAGTCGGAGGTGGATGTACTCCATGGATGTAGGTTTGCTTATAACTCTTAAAATTACAATCAAGCGTTGTCTTAATTGGGGCATTTGACAGGATTTTATATGCTGGCTATGTTATGGAGTAGTGTGAACATAGTGGGCTGTGAGATAGGAACTTTAGTATTGAAATGAATCATGTATATGTACATTGAGCATCAATTGGTAAGCTGCTGTTAGTTTGTTTATGGCTCTCTAATTATCCAATAAATTAGCATCTTTAATGATTTTGAATTCAAGACTAGCTTACATGGATCAAGTTGGATATTTATTAAGGCTATTCAGGTTTGATTTTCAAGGATTGCAATGTAATTAGAGTCAATCTTCAATTTGGATTTGAAATCATCATCGATCTATTTCTTTTAAAATCTCTTCTTTTCTCCTCCCCAAACTTCCTCCCAACCATACAAAGTTTACCTTTGTTCTCCATTGTTAAACTGACAGTGTTATGTGATGTGATATCCTCACATGAGAGAATCCTGATTCACAATACTATGGTTGTGGTAGACAATATGGGGCTGTTGAATAATGCTCTCAATATTATTTATTTTGCATCACAGAAGGAATGACATTCAATGAAAGATGAGGTAGAAATGAAAGTGTTTTCTTACGTAAAGTTGTATGGTGCGAGGATGATAATGAAGCAAAATGGAAATTCTTGTGATCCAATAACTTCTGATCATTCAAACATCTTTTTTTATTCTATAATGAGTTTGTTGGTACTTGGTATCACCTTATTGCATAGTGATATACTACTTGTTTGTGATTTTAGTCTGTAGTTGACATCTCAATAAACATGTTACTGCACTTTGGTAGCATAATTGCATCATGGAATTATAGATTTCTCTGTTTTGGTTTGCTGCCGAGTTTACATTCATAGTTTTGCTAGTGACTGGAGAAGTTATCTTGTCTTTTGTTATATGTATGATTGTCTGTATACCATATCACAATGGATATGTGACAGCTTTTCTTTTCTCAAGCTTGAGAAATCCTGATATTAGATGCATCATTGAGATTTTCTGCAATTTGATGAAAAGCATTTCATGCAATGAAAAATGCAGAGTGTAGAGGGAATCTTTGTTGGATCTTTTTTTTCTTCATCAAATGAATAATTTTGTTCCAAGAAAATTTGATAGCCTCATTGTGTGACCAAAAACATAAAATAAAATGAAAGACAGTTTTTTTTGTGTGCTGCAACATTTTATTCGTGAGGGAATCACTGATTCCTTGCTATTGCATGTTTCAAAATCAGTTTGCCTCCTGTGGTTTACCCCCAAAGAAAGTTGTGAAAATGTTAAAATGTTGAGCGATTTCCCTTTCAAATATTTTTTTTCCATTTATGTGTTGAACTTTTTTACTATTTTGAGACCATATTTAGGATTGATTAATTAATTAAGTAAATAAATATCAAAGTCTGTAAATACAACAATAATAAGAAGTCTTATCTTGTTAGGTGGGGTCGGTTATATGAATTGCACGATATCATTGTGCTCTATAATCAACCAAACTTTTAAGAATATTGTTAACCAAGAGGTTTTATTCAACAACTTCTATAAGTGTTTTCTTTGGTTTTCTTTTACCCTTCTTTATCGGGCTTAAGATTATCTGTTTCATTCTCTTTACCGGTGCCTTCCACAGCCTTTTCTATAGATGAATATATAAAAAAAGGATCAAGTAAATGATTCAGTTTTGAAATCTCAACTTTATCTCAGCACTAGAGGGGTGATGAAATTGTTCAATGTGTAACTGCAACATATTTTCAACAATTTAAATGTTCATTATTCGAGTTCTATGAAAAGAGATAGAGGAAGATTAAAGAGAACATTCAATGAAATTATTAAAAGAAATTTTTTAGTTAACAATATATTCAAAGATTTAGTTGTTGATAAGAGTACAATGGTGTTGTTCAATCCATATATCTAGCCCTATCTAGTGAGATGAAGCTGTTTCTTCTTGTTGTAAATGTTCATTATTTCAAAATTCGTCTAATTATTTGTACTATTAAATTTAAGACAAAAATACTAGAGTTGTTAAGTGGGTAATAGAATAGAGCACAAGGGGGTAAATTGATTTTGGACCAAACGCAGGAGAGTGCACTACAGTAAACCCTATATTCATTTATGCCCTGCTATTTTGAAGAATTGCATCACAGAATTTGAAGCTTTCATGTGCTAAATGCTTTCTTCATTTTGGTTCATTCTTTCAGGATACCCAATCCATCAATAAAGCTCCTCTTGATGTGAATAAGCTACCAATTGAAACTCAAAATCTGCTAGCTGTCTGCAAGAGGGAGAGCATGGCTGAGTATCCGTCACCCGAAAGGGATAATTCTAAAACTATGGATGAGTACCCATCACCACAAACCGATAATCCGAAGCCATTCTCGCTAATATACAAAAGAAGGCGGCATAATTTGAACACTAGTCATTCAAATGCTCCTGAGCATTCAGCCCGTAACAGCCAGGATCCATGTTCATCGATAATAACAACCGCAGCAACAACACTTCCAGCTACAACCACCACAACAACTGCCAGTGCTTCGACGAGAAAACATTTCTTGTCTGCGTTGGTGGAGTTCTCTCTACTTGAATCTCTTGAACCCAAGGAAAGTCCTTCGACTCGCGTGCCACAATTTGACCCCTCTACTCTTGACGCTCCTGTGCCTCCTAGCTGCTTGAAATTCATCCAACAGTTGCAGGATGAGGTTCGTAAACTCTCGGTTGAGAGGGAGACAATGAAATTTGAGATTATGAGTGCTCAGGCCATGATAAACATCCTGCAATCGCGTATCGATGCGCTGAACAAAGAGAATGAGGAGTTGAAGAGAGGCAATTAGAGAATGCTTAGGAACTGGTTGTGTACATGTGCAATCTTGTTCTTGCTATTGTACCAATTTCAGCACAGCAATAGTGCTTCTTCCAGTTCATGTATTATTTTTCAAGAGTTAGTGGTAACAGGGGAGGTGAGTAATCTGTTAGTAAGGAAGGGACTCTATAAACGTGGGGGAAGTATATTTGTGTATAATGTGAGAAATGGATTTAATATAGTTTTATAGTCTAAAAACTCATGTATCAAATGATATCAGAGCCAATTCACACTATTTGATGCATGGTAAAGGTATTTATCAGGAATATTCGATATGAGTATCAAATGATGTAAATTGGCTCTAATATTGATTGGTACATGAGCATGAGTATTTAGACTATAGGACAATATATAGAATCCATTTCTAACATGTTACACCAATATGATTCCTTATTTATAGAGTTCATTTTTCACTATCAGATTACTAACTTGTTAATCTTCCCTGTAGCAATTAGGATCTGTTGTAGTTTTCAACTTAAACTAGATTTCCCAAGAGACTTGAACTTTTTATTTGCATTGTGTAATCTGTAAGGCTTTTAGTTGCCCATTGTTGTGAGAATGGTAATCTGGACTTCCTTCGCTTTGCTTGCCCTTTAGGAATGGTTAGAAACCCAATTAATCTGTCTAATATATATATATATATACACACATACAAGTGAACTCAAATTATAATATTATATATATATAATATATATATATAAAAGATACATGCGTGTATATACTGAGTCTTTTTAGTGTTTTAAGTTGAAACCTATACATGTAATCTAATAACGACGGGGTGTATGTATTAGACGGTTTGTAAATAACGACGTGGCTTATCTTTCTTCACACTTTGTTTTCAATTGGTGACTTAAATAGTCGGTAGATTTAAGCTGGTAAGATGTGATGTGACTCATCTTATAAAGACATTTATAATTTATTTGAATCAGGTCAAAGAAAATCAACTCTCAAATTTAATTACAGAAAAGGATAAATCAGGAAAAAAAACAGCAGAATAACACGAGAACCATGGAACGGAATTAAACATTTTCAAGGACCATGAATTTAAAATTATAGAAAATGACCACAGTTTTAAAGACACATAATTGACAGATAACTCTATTGAAAGTAGCAGCAGATGAGTTGCAAATCACGAAAGCTCAACGGCAAATCTAAAAACATCACTTGCAAATGGGTTATCAATTATGTAGGCTTTATAAATCCTGAAAACTCAGTAGAAAATGTTAAAAGCTTTTAAATTATAGAAGTTCTAGAAATCCTAAAACATCTAATCTTCCATTATTTACAATTGAGCGTTTAATATTAGTGTTTAGACCTAAAATGAAGCGTTAAGCCCAAAATAACAAAGAGAAAGGAAAATGAAACGTCAAGCCCAATACTTAGATGAAAAAGGCCCGGTCTGTTTCTAGATAAGGTTCCATGTTGAGCATGTACTGAGGTGAGGGGCATGACCCTTAAATCTCAGAGTGAATGAGTGTGAAAGGTTGTTAAATGAATGTGGGATCTCATTTAACGTGCCCCAAATCTTGCTGGATTGTGTCCAGCAATAGCAAATATTTTACAGATGGGCTCCTGATTCTTCAGGCACCATGGTCTTAAGCATTCAAGTATAAAAAAGGTCTAACTGATAAAATCAAGGATGGACAATTTACATGAAAAATAGACTCATTTCTTAGTTTCAATTCCAATTTACTTTGTATTATGCAATTATACTTAGATTTTTTGAGTTTTACAGTTGTAATTGTTGCAACTCTGTACTTCAATTCTATTAATTAAATCACCTTTACATCATTATCTTCATGTGAACTTAGGTAAGGAAGCCTACATCATTATCTTTGTATCTTTGCATTTGGGTGGACTTAGGTAGGGGATCTAAGGGACCCTTTTATCATATTTGAGATTCTATGTCTCTAGCACACTGGATACTTTTATTGCTTAAACACAATGAACAATTTGTGGCATACCTAGGGGGACCATTGTGATAAAGATGCCTAGAAAGAATGTTGATGAACGAGGTACTGGTTCTCATGAACTCGAAGGTGGCTCTGCACACGTAGGGTTAGAAGAACACTTAACGTGTGAAGATAGAGTAAATGCACATTGTGAGCATGTGCTGCCAATGACCACTAGCGGCAGTAATGCATGCAAGTCTTACTTGAAGGCAAGTAACAACACTGTAAATCCTCTGACTGTGTTTAACTAGCCTATTGTAAAAGTACTGTGATGGATACAAGATCGTGTGGATAAGTAGTTAGAATAAAGTTGGAGATTATATGCACTCTTACATAAGCTTCGGAGTGTCGAGAAAGAAAGCACCGGCAGGTAATGATACAGGCCCTTCATGAAGGGTTAAGGAACATCACTACATGGCTAAGGGGAGGGCCCATAAAAGTTGGCTCAATATTCGTGTTCCATGGGGGCAACCCTCAAGGAGCAATCCAAACGTAGGCCTTTGGGGCTACATACACATAAGGGACAATTCTATCCCTTATGTTTTTGCACACATTAATCCTATAAGTCTATTATGGTTATTTAAAAATAAATATAAAATCTGTAATAAAATAGTGCAAATACACAAATTATTGAAACCCCAAAGTGTCAACTCAAACCAATACATAACAAATACCTAAACAAACATAAATCAGAGTTGCAAGCTTTTGGAACTATGGGATACTAAAATGTTCAAAAACTTAGTTTAAAAGAAAAATAAAATGACATTTTACAATTATAGGAGCATCCGCTGTGGCTTACAATATCCTGACGTGCCATTCGAGCTCAACGAAGCTTTGGAAGTGTTTGTTTTTTATAGGTAAACCTTTAACCTTTTAAAAGTTTGAGGTAACCGAAAAATATTTAATTTGTATACTTGTTTGTTAATTGACTATATGTTCAAAGACTTTGTTTTAAAAACCGTGTGATAGTTATTAACTTATTTTTGATACAAGTTATGGCAAAATGAAAAATTTTATGTGATGTACAAGTGTATGTATGAATTGATGATAGTGATGTGAATATGTATGTTAATGTAATCAAAAAGGAAAAGTTGCGAATTGAAATGTGTGTTGAGAATGATTGCGGTTGTGATAGTGTTTAGCATGATATGATGAGATTATTGTCAATAAATTGCATGCTACATGTTGATATTATGTGCATTGCATGATCATTTATAGATGAATTTTGCCTAGGGAGAGGAGTAGTGAAAAAAATCCACGTGATATTAGCAGCTTAATGTTAGAATCAAAAGCTAGTCAGACTATCAGCCATTGAAATCAAGAGATAGTCATTGTCTCATTATTGTTAAGGGACAGTCCCACTTGTTTTTTGATGGACTGAAATCTAATTGATTTCTACTGATTCATGAGGAGGTTAGATTAGGGGTACGAAACCCCATGATTGTTAGTGTTGGGGGAAACTGTGACTCACAAGTGAGTGAAGTAGCCTTAGTCGGGTAGCTCCTCATGAGTAAAAGGCTTGGATAGTTTAAATACATGAACGTAGCCCACTATATAGCTACCAGTTTCATGTCAGAGGTATTGAAATAATATAAGGATAGCATTGATCATGCATTTCACTTTTCGGCCACATGATTGTTATTATTGTGGTTTGGCATAATTGACAGGGGCATATAATTGTTAGTATTATGATCCTATATGTATTTTAATGTTTATCATTGATGTGAGTTTCAATATGTGATTGTGCTTGGCTGCATGGTTGTTAGCTTTATAGTTGTGGTACCCTTTTGAAAAGCAAGTCAATTTGTGAAAAGAAATGTAATTGCCAATTGCATTTATAATTAATTGCATCTATAAGATATATTACGGGGACAGGCTTATCAGATCAAGATCGAGAAAACAACTAAGGCATAGGATTCTATTGGAAATCCTATTAGTAGGTCTCGTAGTTTTATTTATGTGTATTTTATTAATAATTTTCCAACTAGGTTAACATATGATTTTTAACTACTTGCATTATTTAAGAAATTGAATTGAATGTGTATTTTAGGCTTTAGGTTGTATATATTATGGCTATAAAGTTTATATAGGGCCAACATACTAATATAAGTAGAGAGATGTGTAGTTGTATGGATATTGTGAATGATATAATAATTTATGAGAATTTAGCTCCCCTATATTTTTTATGATTATAAGATTGAGCGTTGAAAATATGATTTATATGTGAATGTTTGGCTGCGATGTATTACACGAGTCCATTATAATTCATTGAGTGTGGTCTAAGGGTTAGTATGAGCTTTTGGCACTTGGATTGAATATTAGACACCTTAATTGTGATTAATGTTAAAAATGAGTCTTTTTGGAAATGGACGTCCAACTTTTGATTGAAAAGTGATTTGATTGTAAAATTAGTGCCATTAATTAGAGCTCATAGAAAGCTTTTCATAGACACTTAGATTACTTCAATCAAATGTTGGACGAAGAATCGGAGCACGTTTAAATCTTGCCCCAAGTGATATCTTATGACAATAAGTTTGCTATTAGATTTCATGTAATATGCCATGGGGCAAGCATAGCATAGAAGTAGATGAGCCACGGCACATCTACAACAAGCCGCGACGTATCACTGAGTGTTGTACTAAAATGCTATTTTTCCAATCCAAATGCAAATACTTTGTTACAAATATCCTATACTTTTGTGAACATCTTTTACTCTGATTTTTGAATGATAATAGAATATTGAAGTGTTTGAATTTCAAAAACTTGGGATCTCATTCTTATAAATTTTACAAACTTGATAATTATCTTAGGTTCATTGCAAAATCTCCCTTTTCTAATTACAATTAAAACCATAATTTAAGGTAATCAATAGATTAACTCATGAAGAAATTACCAAGTTTGTACTTTGAAATAACGGGATCCCAAGTTTTTATAGTTTAAAATGAGTCAAATTCATTTGTTAAACATTTAATTAGAGTTTAAATCATGTTATAAAAGCATGAGATATCTCATAAATGTGAAAGGAGTTGAAAAATTTCATGGCATGCCCCATTTCTTCCTCGTTATTTGTGACGTACTATGGCATGTTGCATGCTCATGATAGCAGAATCCAAGTAACTTTTGACATGCCCCATTTCTTCGTCTGATGTCCAAATAAGATTATCTAGATGTTTGTGAAAAGTTCTTTTTTTAAATTAGCTAATGACACGGGTTTTACTTTCAAAATGAGTTACACTAAGAAGTTGAACACCCAAATACATTTTCACAACTTTTCTCAACTTTCACAATAGAAAAAGGTGTCTAAAACACTATACAAGTGCTAAAAGCCATTAGTAACACCTAGACTATATTTATTGGACCTAAAACTACTTGTACAACCTACCATATACATAGATACACTACTATATCTAAATTTCACTCTTTAATCCTTTTAATATCAAAAATAGAAAGGGCAGTTTTAACCATTGCATTTCAAAATAACATTTACCATTATAATCAAATGGACATTAATATACTTATACTAGTATTTTAGCTCTATCAACTTTTACAATTTATGATAAACAACATCTCAGGACCTAAAATACAAACCATATATCACAGACAACTATATAGTGCAAGTGTAAACAA